TTGCTGATCAGAAGGTCGGCGGTTCGAATGCCCATGATGGGGTGAGCTCCCGTTGCTCGGTCCCTGCTCCTGCCAACCTAGCAGTTCGAAAGCACATCAAAGTGCAAGGAGATAAATAGGTGCCGCTCCAGCAGGAAGGTAAACGGTGTTTCCATGCGCTGCTCTGGTTTGCCAGAAGCGGCTTTGTTATGCTGGCCACATGACCCGGAAGCTGTATGCCGGCTCCCTCGGCCAATAAAGCGAGTTGAGCGCCGCAACTCCAGAGTCGGTCACAACTGGACCTAATGTCACACACAAGTCCCTTGAGGTTGGTGTGTGAGCTGAGGGGAAAGCAGAAGGGGAGAGAGGTAGAGAGCTGTGTTATGTATGTGCGATGGTATGCCTTCCTGCGTGAGTGCAACATGGGTTTGGATGGATGCAGCAACACACACAGACCCCAGTACTGAACAAGAGCAAACGGACTCAAAGGTAGGGATGGAGAACCTGTGGTGCTCCAGGTGGGGTTTTTTTGGACTCTCATCTGCCCCAGCCCAGCATGGCCACTGGTCACAAATGATGCTAGAGGACCACAAGTTCCCCACCATCCCTGTCCTAATCACTTTGTCTTATCATCAAATCCACTCTGGACTAAGAGTCAAACTTGCAACTGTGTTTATTCGAAAGTAGTTCCCATTGAACGTTTCCCCAAGCCAAGGGGACTTTCTAAACATTCATCCCCACCTATTCTGCATATTCCTTCATGCCCCTGCTGGCATCTTCAACTCTATTCCCATTCCTCCTACTGCCTCCTTTTTTGCACTCCCATTTCCACCTTCACAAACTTTTCTCACCCTCTTTCTTTTCTCAGCACCCCCTTGCACACAGATCACCCCCATTTTCCATGTCTTATTCTCTCTCCTATTGCATAGCCAGCCTTTGCACATATATACCATATTACTGTATCTTTTTTTTAAAAAAAACCCATTAAAAATACATACCACATTATTACCTTCACCCGCTTTTCCTTACCTCCTCATTCCTCCATTTCTCAACTCTCCCTTACAGACACACCCCTCCTTTTTCATGCCTCCTGCTCTTTCCAGCATGCACTCCCACAACCATGGTGATACATGTTACTGTAGCTTTAAGATGAATAGAATTGTATCAGCAACCTTTTTCAGTTACAGAAGGTTAAGTTCAGTGGATGATATATGGGTGTTTGCAAAATATCTCTTCTAAATTTGTGACATATTAAACTTCATGGTTGTTGTTGTTGTTTAGTCGTTTAGTCGTGTCTGACTCTTCGTGACCCCATGGACCAGAGCACACCAGGCACTCCTGTCTTCCACTGCCTCCCACAGTTTGGTCAAACTCATGCTGGTAGCTTCGAGAACACTGTCCAACCATCTCGTTCTCTGTCGTCCCCTTCTCCTTGTGCCCTCAATCTTTCCCAGGATCAGGGTCTTTTCCAGGGAGTCTTCTCTTCTCATGAGGTGGCCAAAGTATTGGAGCCTCAGCTTCAGGATCTGTCCTTCCAGTGAGCACTCAGGGCTGATTTTCTTCAGAATGGATAGGTTTGATCGTCTTGCAGTCCATGGGACTCTCAAGAGTCTCCTCCAGCACCATAATTCAAAAGCGTCAATTCTTCGGCGATCAGCCTTCTTTATGGTCCAGCTCTCACTTCATGGTATCAGGAGTGAAATACCTTGTGGGGCAGTGCTGCTATGGAATATTTGAGGGCTCAGCATCCTCTGTTTCTCACATACTACGCAGCTGAGGAATAGAAGAGAGTCAAGGTATTTGCAAGATATTTATATCTATCTCTGTCCAAACCCCACTCTCTCCCTGCCACCCTGCCGCAGTGGTGTAGTGTGGGTTGCCAGTGGCCAGAACAGGGCAAGTGTTGGTCAACTGGGCATGGAGCCTATGAGGCACATGGCTGCCGGTGGCCGCGCGCCTTCTCAGCTTGACAGCTCCGCCTCCCAGCTTGGCCAGCCCAAGGGTGGGCCATGTGGGTGTTGTGCCAAGTAGTGCTCCTTTCAGAATTTTGTGCTGGGGCCAAAAGGTTTGGGGTGAATAATAATAATAATAATAATAAATTTTATTTATATCCCGCCCTCCCCAGCCGAAGCCGGGCTCAGGGCGGCTAACAACAGTCAAATAGTCAAACAGTCAAATTCTAAAAACAGAATAGCAGAGGCTATTCTCCTGGGTATGTGCTTCATGCAAACAATTCTAAGTATGGACCCAAAATGTTCAAGTGTGTGTTCTCTTTGCTAAAAGTATCTTTTTCTTATGCTAAGTCTTCTGACCACTGAGCAATGCAGTGAGATATACTTTCCTTCCAGTGTTGCAACACCAGACTTTTTTGGGCACCAACAGGGCACACCTGGCCCAAGTACATTTGAATATGACTTAGCGTGAGCATCCAATAATTTTATGGATTTCTCAGGACTAAGATGATATGGACGACGACTTCCATCCAGAACGCTGCCATGATCCTCTCCTTAGAATAATGCAACTGAACACCACTGGGCTGAAACCATGTCCAAGTTACTCAGTAGTAAGGGCCACTGAACTTGGTTGGACACACTGCTGAGTAAATATACACCAGGCCAGGCATGTAAAGCTAGAATAGGTGAATATGCTTTGAATCTATGCTGCTGCAAATCTTTTTGTTATCCTACGTCAAGGGTGAGGAACCTCAGGTCTAGGGCCTGCCAGACCTCAGGAGCCAGGATACTCTCCAAGCTATGCCCATCGCTGGGACACCCTCCTTTTCCCAGGTCATGTCCCTAACTAGCTGTATGGTGATCCCTCCTTAAGTGCTTTTTGCCTGATGGGAGTGCGTCCTTGAACTGTGGATCATGCCTTTTGGTTTCCTGGTTGTGGAACAGAGATATGGAGAGGGTGCAGAAGCCTCTGACCTGTGGGTGGGTGGAATGTAGCCCTCACAAAGGAAAGAGCAGGGGTCAGCAAACTTTTTCAGCCATGGGCCGGTCCACTGTCCCTCAGACCTTGTGGGGGGCTGGACTATATTTTTTTTTGGGGGGGGAATGAACGAATTCCTATGCCCCACAATTCCTATGCAGTTTAAATAAAAGGACACATTCTACTCATGTAAAACCACGCCTGTCTGTGGGCTGGGTTTAGAAGGCAATTGGGCCAGATCCTGCCCACGGACCTTAGTTTGCCTACTCATGGGAAAGAATCACCTCTGTAGCTCCACCCACTTTTTGCCTCTAGCCCTGCCTACCACTGGTATGTGTCCCCCAAAGGCTGCCTATGAGGAAATGTGGCCCTTGGTCTAGAAAAGGTTCCCCTATTCCTCTGCTATGCAATCCCGAACAACGTATCCGCTCCTGCATAGCTCAAAGGAGCGCAGGAACCCTGAGCCAATTTTAGCTGGAAGGGTTATGGCACTCTCTTTTGGGGCGGGGGCGCCAATGTGAAATTGATTCTTCCTGTCACTGGCAAGTTGGAAGGTCTTGATTCCCATCCATCACCCTCCTGCGCCTCCCCTCCGCCCCACCCGTCTTCCCAAGACCTTTTAACCAGGTCTTTTAGCTTGTAAAAACACACTGATTAGGAATACTAGTACTGTAGTGACCTTCGCGATCAATAAATAACCGGGTCTCTTGCAAGCCGTTTCAGCCTCCCTTTCCCAGCTTGAGCTGCAGCGCAGAGCTCACGAGAGCAGGCTCTGTGTGGTGACACTTTTACTGTTGAAATATATACTGATTTTTATTAGCTCTTGGGGGAAACCCAGAGGCTGGGGGAATTTTTTTGTATTTGCTGGCCTGTAAACCTTTTTTATTGGAAAGCAGCTAAGGCGCGCGGGGGCGGGGGGGGGAGGTTTGAATCTGGTTTGCTTTTCACAGCCTACACTTTGTACACAATATGTGTCAAAAAAAGAAATCCAGGTTTGTCTCAGGGTGAATGTAATCCACGTGAGCACACATATAAGAAGGTTTTGGAAAAACAAAAGAAATGCGTTTTTAAAATATACACAGTATGCAGAAGATCCCAGGTTCTTAAGAGAGCAAGGCGACAACAGAGAGCAGATCCCCAGCACTACAGATCTACTCTCAATACTCCTGGTTTTGTTTTAGGGGGACAGCAGGGGATCCACTAGCAACTACTGCAGCCCACCCAGTCCATCTCAGTCTCTCTGCCCTGGGGGATCCTGCTAGCCTGGACTTTTGAGAGAAAGATAAGGGGTCCTTCTACTACACAGCAATTGCAACAAATGCTCAGGCCAGGTTTTTCTGCAGCATCCACAGGGCACTGTCGTCATCAAATGCCTCCTGCATTCCCACTCTAATCCAGAATAGACAGATTTTCCCATGGAAATGGTAAATCGGGATGAAGTGGGAAAACAATACAGGGCAGCGCATGGCAATATGTGGATGCCGCAGAAAGCTTGTACCCACGAGCAGCAACCACAGTAACTGGCCGTGAGGACTCACCAAAGCGCTGTGATTCGAAATGCAAGGAAGGCCACTTAAGAGCTTCCCTAATGCCTTGATATGTCAAGAGGCAACAGAAATTGTCTTCCGGAAAAGTGGAGCTAACCCTCCTCTTTGGGCTATACAGATAAAAGCCATTTACAGTTGCGTTAACTGATGCGCAGCCTAGCTCAGTTGGTAGAGTGTGAGGCTCTTTAAGCTCTGGGTTGTGGGTTCAAGCCCCAGGTTGGGCAAAAGAGTCCTGCATTGCACTAGATGACCCTCTTGGTCCCTTCCAATTCTACAATTCCATGATTTCAGTGGCAGTCCATTTCGTCACCCTCCTACCCCCATTAGGAAAGAAGTCCCCTGGGTTCCATTAGGGACCTGTAGGCCCCGGCGTCTTTTAGCAGCGGGCAGAGGAGCGAGTCCGCGCTCCCCTTTCCCTCTCGCGCCGAGCCAGGCTGCTGGAAGAGGTCAATTCTACCTGGGCAAGGGCCGCCTCCTCCCCACCCCGCGCACGTTCCCGCTTCAGAGGTGAAACTGACTGCAATTATGCGTTTTATCTTGCAGACGATCTCTCGCCCAGCGCTTTAAGGAGACAGAAGTATTTGTTTGATGTATCGACTCTCTCCGACAAAGAGGAGCTGGTGGGAGCGGAGCTGCGGCTCTTTCGCAAAGCCCCTGGCGATCATTCCTCCAAGGCGCAGACAGGCCTGGCCCATGTGCAGGTCTCGCCCTGCCTGTCGGGCCGCCTCCTGGACTCCAGGACTTGGGGCCTGCACGAGGCGGCGTCGGCCCAGGCCGGGGGCGGCTGGGTGGTGTTTGATGTGTGGCAGGCTCTGCAGCCTCACCAGCCCTGGAAAAAGCAGCAGCAGCAGCCGCAGCAACTGTGCCTTGAGGTGCGCGCCGTCGCGGGGACTCGAACTCACGCCCAGCAGCCCCTGTTGGACCTGCGCGATCTGGGTCTGGGGCGAGGCGCTCGGGCGCAGCAGGAGAAGGCACTGCTGGTGGTTTTCACCAAGTCCCGTCGGAAGAACCTCTTCTCCGAGCTGCGCCACGAAAGGGGAGGCCAGCAGCAGAGCGCGCACGCGCCTCCCCAGGAATCGACGGCCGCCGCGCAGTTGCGCTTGCAGAGCCGTCGGATGAGGCGCACGGCTTTCCACAACCGCCACGGCAAGCGGCACGGCAAGAAAGCGCGGCTGCGGTGCAGCAAAAAGGCCCTGCACGTGAACTTCAAGGAGCTGGGCTGGGACGACTGGATTATCGCCCCTCTGGAGTACGAGGCGTACCACTGCGAGGGCGTGTGCGACTTCCCGCTGCGCTCGCACCTGGAGCCCACGAACCACGCCATCATCCAGACCCTCATGAACTCCATGGACCCGGGCTCGACGCCGCCCAGCTGCTGCGTGCCCACCAAACTGACGCCCATCAGCATCCTGTACACGGACGCGGGCAACAACGTCGTCTACAAGCAGTACGAGGATATGGTCGTCGAGTCCTGCGGGTGCAGGTAGCGCCGCGCCTCTCTGTCTCCCCCTGGAGGGAAGAAAAAGAAGCACCAGGGAACTTGGGGAGAGAGAGGGAGAGAGAGCGCGAGCGCGCCCACGAGGGACTCGTTAGGGGTAGCCCTGCGCAGGGAGGAGAAAGCAAAAGAGGCGCTCGACGGGGCGGCCGCCGCTCCAGTTGCCGCCGCCGCGCGCGTCTGGGAAGCCCTCTGGAGTGGGATTGAGGAGCGCGCCTGCGCCCTGCTAAGCCCGCTCCCCCCAAGCGCTCCGTGCACTTGTCAAGGGGTAGCCACGTCGGGGTGGAGAGGCGAAGAGGCCTGCTAGAAATTGTGCCCGCGCCCACCCCTCCCTGCTGCCCATCAGCTTTCTAAGTTCAGGATTCCCTTTTGGTGGACGGAGCAGACGGCCGTTTAAGGAGCGAGGAAAGACAAGCGCAAGAACAGCTCTCCTCTGGTTCTGAAAACACGGGGCAAAGGCTAGGTAGGAGGAGAGTAGGCGTCTTCCTGATGCTCTGTGGCTAGGAGTAGCTGGCCCCAGTCTGCTCCCCCGTATTTGATATTAGGGAGGGGTATTGGTCAGGCAGAGTTTTTCCAGAGATGGGGGTCACTTTAGTTTGATCTCCTCTTACCTACAAATCAGAGATGCTCAGAGAAGGGGGTGCAGGGAAGCAGAGGGGACCGGAAAGGAAATCCAGATCAGCAGTGCCTTGGAGATCAGTGTTGTGAGAAACGGTAATAGCCACTTTCATGAGTGATGCTCATGGTGGCTGATATCTCCCCCATCCCAGGACACCCATGTCCCCCTTCCACTTTCCATCCTCCACAAGTAACTTAGCACATGCTTACAAATTGCCTGGATGGTTTTGTTTTCCAGTAGTTTTACCCAGGAGGGCAGGTAGGAAAGCACCTGCCTCAGAGACGCTTCCTGTCGAGAGATCAGCAGGCAATAAATCATTGCAGGGGGTTGGACTAGATGGATCCACTGGGTCCCTTCCAGCTCTACAATTCTATGAAGGCAGGAGGCTGAGGCCTAGGGGATCGCCGTGGGGAAAGGGGCCGTGGGAACAGAAAATGCCAAATACTTCCTGTTAAGTGTCGGATTGTATTCTTAGGGTTGTCTGAAGATATAGGCTTTCTTTTATAAGAGGAGAAATGGGAAAGAGCAAGTGCAGAACAGAGCTGGCTTGATATTCCTCCAGAAACATCAGGAAGTATTCTCCTTTCTGTTGATTAGCAGGCTGAAACCGCCTTCGACACCCCTCCCCCCCCAAAGTGCAATGCCAAACTGTAATTACCAGTGAGGTTGGGCTTTAGATCCTAGTAATGAAAAGCTGTGAAAGGAGTTTAAAGAAAGCACACACAAGATGGGTCCCCCCTTTTAAAAAAAGATAGGTTGGAAACACCTTTTAGTTTCAAGGTAAGTTTCGCCAGGTAGCTGAATTAGGTTCCAGGAGAAGGCAGGCGCCTTACAGGAAGCTACAGCAGTATTACACAGTTGCGCAAAGTGATGCCGAGAGCAAGCGCGTCGCTATGAACATTTGCCTTCTTTCCCAGCCTTCCGCAAAGAATGGCTTGACGTACAAGATAATGCACTTCTGAGCATTCCTGAAGTCCATGGGGAGATTCCTTCCTCCAGTGAATTCTAGAGCGGTTAGACTATATCTTGACTTCACAGAGCTGCAAAAATGGCCAGGGTGGGGGGTGGGATGGGATGGGGGAGAGAAGTACAAGTGTAAAAAAAGTAAATAAGTAAATAAATAATATAATGATGCTAATAAAGGAAAGTCTCGGCCAGGAGCAATAATTGTTCTTTAATGCACACTTTGGTTTGGATGCACTGTTGTTCATATTGAAGCTGTAAATACTTGTTTATTTAAACAGACTGCAAAGTGCAGAAATGGTGGCAAACAACATTCATTTCTCCCCCTCCCCCTAAATGTCCAAAACATGATATGCACTCAAATGTCTAATTTTTTGGGGTTTAAAAAGTTTATATTTGAGCTGTACAGAGTTGAGCATTAATCCAATATTTCAGCTGTATGTCTGTAACATTATCGTCCCCCCCCCTTCTTGAAATGTTATTGCAAGAGTTAAAATTCTGTGTTAATAATGGAGAGTTCTTTTTTTCTGTTGTCTACCTCACTACATTGCAAGAGCACAATCCAACCGGGAAGGTCTGCATGCCTTGCTGCGAAAGGCCTGTAGCTTAGTGGTAGAGCATCAGCTTTGCCTGCAGAAGTTTCCAGGTTCGATCCCCGGGCAGAGCTGGGAGAGACTTCCTGTCCGAAACCCTGGAAAGTTGCAGCCAGTCAGCTCGAACAATACTGAACAAAATGGGCCATTGGTATTAAGCAACTTCCTTTGTTCTCATGATGCTACGCAGTTCCTATTTCAGTGAGGCTGAAGGAGGAGAACTTCCTGCTGGGTTGTGCGCCAAATAATATGCAACTCTTAAGGCTGTGTACCCATGGCATTTTATTCAAGAACCAATGGAGACAGTGCTTCCCCCTCCCATGTAGTCCGCACACAATTTAGATCTGTTGCATATTTTTTTGCCCCTGAAAAGCTTTTCTTGAGAAACTGGCTCTGTTCTGGAAATAAAAGCTCATTGCGGATGGATTCTGCATTGCCGTGCAATGTGCTCATTTGCAAATGGATGAAAGCAGCTGTAGGCAGTGCCAGCAGTGGGTGTGGATGTGTATCCCTACACCTGTTCGGTGATGCTATGGGTGGGCATATATATCAAGTTCCCAGTCGCCACTTCCTGCTTTGTTCACCCAGGGCATGTGCAGGGAAGAAAAGGAGGGGTTAGCCTAAACAAGGGGAGGGGTTCCAAATGTCTTATCAGGTAACCACACCCACCCTTGCGGATAGCAGGATCTAGAATCTACAGTAGTTTGAAAGTGACATGTTGTGGACAAGAATGAACAGTTCCTGATTGAGAAAAAATATCACTTTCGTGCTACAAATGGATTAGTGTGTATGGAGCCTAACACCTTTTAAGGTAAATTAATATTCAGAACATTTTTACTGGATGGTACTTAAACCACAACTGTATTATTAAACTCTATCCTCCCTGGAAGCCAGTTGCTTTTTCTGTTCTATTTTGATTAAATACCCGTGCATTAAAAACCAAAAAAACCCAAATCATATCTGGATGTTGGTTACAGTTCTTAAAATCTATTAGTCGATCTGAAAGAAGCACCAATTAAAAAACAAAATTCGCAGACCTTTGCGATTTAAACCCCCCTTTTAATGTCTATTCTCAAGAACTTCTTAAGGGTAACTTCTGAAAATATGGAAGGATTTCATGAAGAGTGGAAGCTACATCTGTTGGGTAATCCCAGTGAAAAGAAGGAGAAGCAGCATATAAATGGCAGCTGTGTGTGATACTTTTAAAATACATTATACTCTATGCAGCGCAAAGGGGGGGGGGAGAGGTGAACTTGTCTGCATACAATAGAACGGAATCATGAAATATTGCCTCACAGTGATCATTATATTAATAACAGCAGCACAACTGTCCATAACTCAGACACTGTTGAGTTTGCGGTGGAAAGTTGCAGTGCTCTTCTACATACGGTTTGTGCCACAGTGCTTTAAATGGAGGGAGCACATCTTTGCACAGGTAGGAAGAACAGTATGTATCTGCTTTCTTGCTTGAAATGGATGGAACCCTCTCCCCCAACCTGGTGCCCTCTAGATACTTTGGAGTACAATTCATATACAGCTCCAGGCAGTGGTACAGCTGTGTTTGGAGGTGGCTTAGTGTTGGGTCCACACCAGGGCTTCTGTAGCTGTGATGCCGTTCTGTATGGAGAAGGTAGGCCACCATTTATCCTACTTGATGCAGTAGATGTAAGTGAATATTATTTAAATCTTACTAATTTAAATGGATTTAAGCATTCCTAATGCTTTCTGTGTTAACCTGCTGTGTAGAAGTAAGGCCTTTTAGATTATAAATGTGATGAGAGCAGACGTGTTTGTCTACTCTCACAAAGAAAGACAATTCATTATGGACCGTTCCTCCTTTTGGCACAGATGGTGGATTCAGGTCTGTGGGCAGGAAAAGCTGATTTTGAATTGTACCAAGGTGTGACAGCCTTATCTCCATCCCTTCAGCAACGCATTCTTCACAGCTCCATCTGACTAGAAGTTAAATGTTCATGCCTTCATTACATGGAGCAGACAAGTGAATTTAAAAATGAGCACTCCCTTTAATGCAATTTTTTGTCTTCAAGGTCTTTTCTCGCTAACTTTACTTAGGTAATTTTCTTCTGTTTCTGACGGTAGTGTTGGACCTATTGTGCAAATACCAGGCGTGCTTTGGTGGTATGCAAAAGAAGGACGTGGGTGGCACTGTGGTCTAAACTACTGAGCCTAGGGCTTGCCGATCGGAAGGTCGGCAGTTCAAATCCCCGCAACGGGGTGAGCTCCCGTTGCTCGATCCCTGCTCCTGCCAACCTAGCAGTTCGAAAGCATGTCAAAGTGCAAGTAGATAAATAGGGACCACTCCTGCTGGAAGGTAAACGGCGTTTCCATGTGCTGCTCTGGTTCACCAGAAGCAGCTTAGTCATGCTGGCCACATGACCCAGAAAAACTACAGACAAACGGCTGCCTCGGCTAGTAAAGCAAGATGAGTGCCACAACCCCAGAGTCATTCACGATTGGACTCAACCTGTCAGGGGTCCTTTACCTTTTCCAAGAAGAAGAGCACCAATAAAACCACTAGGGGCTGACTCATGCCCAGTGGTCTGGATTCTCTATGCAGTGCAAGCCTACAGTTCATGCCCTGATAAGTTAACATAGTATGAGCCGAAGCTGATGAACAAGCATTTATGTGAGCAGTCTTGGTCCATGGGATCTACCTACCTTTTGGTTTCACGTCAAACCTTCTATGGGATGGGGAAGCTGTGGCCCTTCATCAGATGGTTGGCCAATGGGGTGGGGTAACACAGCTCACCTGTTCTCTCAGCCACATTGCTGTGCTTCCTGGGAGAGAGATGGATAAGGGGGTGGGAAGGTTGGTGCAGTGAGCGTTGACCATGCTGGCTGAAGCTGGTGGGAATAACTGACCAGTAACATCAGGAAGGCCATAGGTTCCTCATCCCTGATGGGCAGTTTGTGCCTGTGGGGAGGGGCCTGAACTCAGAGGCATGGCAAAATCTTGGACATCTGCCATAGCGCCTGGGAAAAGGAGATGGGATAATTTCCACCAATTGGAGTAAAAATAAAAATAGTTCTAGGCTAGTTGGGACAACCATCTGACACAGTACAAGGTGCAAGGGTCGCTTTTCATGTTCCACCTTGTGTAGAACCTGCATACTGCAGTACAGTGTAAACTCTCCTGAGCCAAAATTTAGTGGAAGTTTAGAACAACTCATGCATTAAATCACCTGATTCCATAAGCAGGGATGGAAGGCTGATTAGACTGGGTGGATGGGAGGAGGCACAAGTTGTTCCTAATGTCTGAAATCAGCAAAGATTGTCACCACACATCCAAACTGAGCACTTCAAAGCCCAGGTGAATTAAATGGAAACATTCTTGGTGGGAAATGGAAACATGCTTCAAATTTGCTGGATTGTGACCTTGATTTCTTATTTGAAAAATGCAATGTATCTATTCTTTTAAGGAAATAAATTGCATAAGTTGACATATCTGAGGGGAAAGCAGATGGCAATGGAAAAATAAAACAAATTCTTCTCTAGACTTCCTCCTGCCATGTAATTTCAAGCCTAAGTACTAACATAGCTTCCAAGCCTATTAGTATACAGTGGTACCTCGGGTTGCATATGCTTCAGGTTACATACGCTTCAGGTTGCAGACTCGCTAACCCAGAAATAGTACCTCGGGTTAAGAACTTTGCTTCAGGATGAGAACAGAAATCGTGCTCTGGTGGCGCGGCGGCAGCAGGAGGCCCCATTAGCTAAAGTGGTGCTTCAGGTTAAGAACAGCTTCAGGTTAAGAACGGACCTCCAGAACGAATTAAGTACTTAACCCGAGGTACCACTGTACATTCTGTGTTACCGAAACCCATTCTATGTTACAGGATAAATTAAAATAGATTTATTTAATGGAGGAACTCCCAAACAGGATCTTTCTCTTTGTCTGGGATGCAAAGCAATATGCCTTCTCTTTCAGGTTCACCATTCAGTTCAACATTTTTGAGCATGCCAAAATAACATGTATGCAGTGCATTTGCTGGCCAGGAGAGGGCGAAAGACCTGCTGAGCTTGAAATCGGATATTGCCACTTGCCTAATTGCATTGTGGCACATGAAGAAAAAAAGTATGGCTGTCCTTTCATTCTTTGGTACCCAACAGGTTAAAGGAGGCACCTGTAGGACTAGGTGATGGATGGAGGGAGAGAGGGAGGGGGCTAAATATTGTCCCTGAAGGTTTCCCATCCAGCCTCTAACATTTAACTTTCAGACACTATTTTGCAGTTTGGCCATTCCATCCTCCCACCTCAAGGTGAGATACGGGCTCCGCAATGTCAACAACAGGAGAGGCTTTGCCAGAGTCCATCTCATAGATGCCACAGGAGGAGAGACAAAAATAAAAAAGGGTAGGTATTTGAAAGGCATAAAGGAGGAAACTGGCACAGCCTCTGTTGTTAAGCTCAAATATCCAAAGAGATGTATGTAAATTCTACCCCTCCCTTTGCTTCGGGTCCACCTTTCATCCTACACCTTCTGGCTGGTCTTTACCATCCTGTTGAGTTTGTTTTTTGGATGCTGCCTGCTTGCTGAGTTTCCAACTTAGTTCCCCTCTGCCCTCCTTTCTGCTTGCTGATCCCTGCAATGCTTTGGTTAGCTTTTGTGATCTGCCCCTTGCTAACCAACCTTTGAATACCTCTGTGGCTCTGAACATTTACCTAGCATTTGGCTGTTGCTCATACTCTCCGCGTCTCCCCTCCTCTGTCTGCCTTGGCCCACGTGCCTGGCATTCAGGGCTGTTTTCTGATTTTGTTCGGGTACACAAAAGTGTAACGTCGGAAGGATCTGCACCCATGCTTCTCCGTGAACCAGGCGTTAGCTTCTGGCAGAGGTCAGGGTAAGCAAAGTGCTGCAAGCTAGGAATTCAGCAGGGGCTGCTAGCAATTCTGGGGTTTGCAGGAAGACCCTTAAAAGGCACGATAAGCAAGGTATGCATGCAATCTGCACAATAAAATTCTGTGCCAAGGAAATTCATATTCAGTGCCAAGAGAAGCTGGATGTTACCCATATTTGTTAGGCAAATTAAGCATATTTAAAGTGATTCCCCCTGCCCCCCATATTTCATGTTACCCTTTTGCATACTTTATTCCAGTTTTGCTGTTAGTGGAGAGCTCTGGAGAACCCTGAAACCCCATCCCCAACCAGTGGGTGTTTAGTGGTTTTGAGATTTTAGCAGAAATAGCCTACCCACTTTCAAGCACATCTGTTTATCCAGAAGGGCTAAAAAAAAAAACCCACGCTGCCTCTCTCATATAGATTATAAACTGATAACAGAGATTATTAGGAAGCTGGATTCTACACCCTGTACCATATCCTGTAAATTGTCTGTGCCCCTGCAGAATAACATAGACACAAAACTCTGATGATGTGTCACTGGGCTAGACAGAATTGGCTAGAAAGGAGTTGCCAAGATCTGGCGCTCTGAAATACTTGGGAGGCCAGTCGGTAGAGAGACAGAATCATTTAAATGTGTCACCCAAGGTGCCCCAAGTGCAGAAGATCACTTTTTGTTTTATGCAGTGTTACGTTCCCTGCAGCCGGGCTGCGATAGGATGCAATGGAACAGGCTTATAGAATGATTTAGAAAGAAATAACATTTTCCCTCCCCGTGCCCCCACCTCATCAAAGTGAAGGCCTGCTCTCAATTTGGAAGAGAGAGGCTTATCTGTCTGGTAAAGCGATATGACGGTGTGAGGGCAGGATCATTTCTGACATTTGAGGATCGTTTGTCACTCAAATCCCTCTTGAAACCAAGTGTAATATTGAGGCACACCTAGAAAAGATTTAGCTGTTGACTCTGGGCACAAAAATATGTGCTCATGAGGCACTGTATACGGCACACAGAAGATACGAGATGTTGTGGTTTGGCATTCACAATTTGTTACTTGGTGTACCCCAGGTGCTGAAATGAAGGGTTTGTTACCT